AAGAGGCATTTAGGAATATTAGTATTATCAGTCCAACAATAGACAGTGTAATGTATATACGATATATATATATATATATATATATATATATATATATATATATATATATTTATATTTATATTTATATATATATACATATTTATATATATGTGTGTGTGAATATAATTGTACTTTATCATCAAACAGCTGGCTTTGAGCGGGGGGGGGGGGTGAGTCAACAGCTACAACCCTCCCCCTCCAAACAATCCCTTGCCTACGCCACTGCTGCCAACACCAGTCTCCCACCCCCCACCACCCCCCCCCCCTCCCACACACACACACACCTGTACTCACGTGATCGTCTCCTCCAGCACCAGCGAGTAGCAGGCTATCTCGGACCGGCTGGCGTGCACGGTCGTGTTCCGCTCCGTGTACCTCCGCACCGTGTTGACCTCCACGTACTGCTGGCTCCGGATGGCCACGGGGACGGGGGTGGGGGAGTGGGTCGTGACGTAGAACTCGGCCACGGCCTGGTCGAGGGAGGGGAGGGCCAGGAGGAAGTAGTCGCCGAGGGTCGTGCTGCCTGCTGGGGATCAGGGGTCATAGGGGTCGTCAGGATACAATCGTTAGGATGAGGGTCGTCAGGATACAACCGTTAGGATAGGGGTTCGACAGGATACAACCGTTAGGGTAGGGGTCGTCAGGATACAACCGTTAGGGTAGGGGTCGTCAGGATACAACCGTTAGGATAGGGGTAATCAGGATACAACCGTTAGGATAGGGTGTCATCAATACATAACCGTTAGGGTAGGGGTCGTCAGGATACAACCGTTAGGGTAGGGGTCATCAGGATACAACCGTTAGGTTAGGGGTCGTCAGGATACAACCGTTAGGATAGGGGTCGTAAGGATAAAACCGATTGGATAGGGGTCGTCAGGATAAAACCGATTGGATAGGGGTCGTCATGATACAACCGTTAGAATAGGGGTCGTCAATACATAACCGTTGGGATAGGGGTCGTCAAGATAGTTTAGGGGTCGTTCAGATACATTGGGCAGGTGAAGCAGGATAGGGGTCGTCAGGATACAACCTTTATGATAGGGGTCGTCAAAAGATAACTGTTGGGATAGGGGTCGTCAAGATCTGTTAGTTTAGGGATCGCTCATATATATTAGGCATAGGGGTCATCAAGAAATAACTGTTATGATAAGGGTCCGTAAGACACAACCGTTAGGATAGGGGACATTTAAATCCATTAAACAGGTGAAACAGGATTGGGGGCGCCAGGGTACAACCGTTAGGATAGAGGTTGTCCAACTCCGTTTGGATAGGGGTCCTTCAGACAAACAGGATTTGTTAAACTGATAGATTGAGCATCACTCCAAAAGACACGGTACTATGCAATTAGCTTAAACATCCTCTGCACAATAAGGGGTAAAACTCATAATGTCGCCTGTCTCAGTTCGTGAACTGAACTCGGGACTTTATAGCCAGTAATAGTTCGCTCTACTACTTGACCACGTCACCCTATCTAGGGCCAAATTTAGGGTTAAATAGACTTCTTTTTAACTTTTCGGACTCGTACAGTATTAGAACTCTGTACTCTTGAACAACTTTTATGAATGTCAATTTTTAAAGGTAAAATACGTGGGGCTAGAGAGTATGATTTCCATTGCTAAAGAGTTCTGACTCCAAACAGATAAGGAACGATAATTCCTATCTAGGAGAGATAACTTCAAAATCAAACAACTGCTGCCTTGTAAGTTTGTTCTTGGTTGGACAAAGGCTATGGAAGCAAATCCAAAACAGGAAAGCAGGCTGAAATCTTAGTCAATGTGCTATTTACTAAATAAGGTGAACGTAACGCTTAATTTGTGTTGGAGGGAATCCCTTCCAACATTAAAAATTAAAAACGATGAAGAAAAAAGCAAACAAATGCTGTCTTGTAGTTTGTTCTAAAGCTAAAGAAGCAAATCCAAAAAGAAAAGCAGGCTGAAATCTTAGTCAATGACCTATATGGCAAAATGATAAGTTCACAAGTAACGCTTAATTGTGTTGGAGGGAATGTATTCCAACTTTAAAAATTAAGAACGAAGAAGAAAAAAAAAAGCTGCCTTGTAGTTTATTCAAGGGCTATGGAAGCAAATCCAGAAACAAAATCAGGCTGAAATCGCAGTCAACGGGCCGAATGACAATTAACGTAGGGACCCGTAATACTTAAATGTAATGGAGTAAATCCCCTTTCAGTATTACAAGCACGAACGAAGAAGAAGAAGAAGTAATCGTGTGTGAATAAGCTGACTTACCTATGGCTAAGACTGCTCTCATGTTATAAACAACAGACCATACAAGCCCCAAGAATGCTGGTGATGTTGCCTTCTTCTATATCAAAACAGAGCAGACATTACACAAAATTGTATGTTATGCTGTATCAGATGGCTAGTAATCTATTCATAACTCATCAACGAAATGTGTTGTTCTTTAACTGGGGTGATAAAGCAGAAATAAGTGAAGATAAAGTTAGTTTAGAATATGGTTACGATGCATAAAACATACAAAAAAAAAACAGTTTTCTGTTATGTTGTATCAGCAACTAAGCTACACATTACTCAAATGTGTTAACGTTTAGCTGGGGTGATAAAGCAGAAATAAATTGAAGTGAAGATGAAGTTAGTTTAGGAATTAGGATATGGTTAAGATGCACATAACATACAAAAAATAAGCGATTGTCTACGTGATGAGTGATATGAAAATTGAATTATTTTTTTAAACCAAATAAAATAATCATTTTTTTTTTTGGTAGGAGCGCTTATTCTGAAGACAACTGTATTTACACGGATACTATCTAGTGTACTGGTTATATCAGGATTTTTTTGATGAAAGTATTGTTAGCTCCTGAGGGTAGGGGGGGGTGTGATATAAAGGAAGGGAGATGTAATTAGATCTATGTAAGATAGGGGGGACGATGTAAAGTAAACGTCCTTTTGCGGACCTGGCGGCCAACGGAGCAGGTGAAGTAGAGTGAACCTGTTTCTGTGACCTCGGCATATGAAAAGACAGTGTGATCAGCACTATGCCCAGCCGCCTTTACTCTCCCCACAGGTACCCATGAGAGTTGGGCGGACTCAGGGACGTGATGCGGCACTCGCCAGGGATTCAAATTCGAGACTTTCTCGTCAGCGGACGAACGGGTAACCTGTTGTTAATGGACCGTTAGGATGTGGGAAGGGAGGGGGGTGTAATTTCCAATAAGATAAATAGTAACTCTGACGCTGATTCACCGCATATCTACAGCAATTGTTATGTGGGTATGGCTAATCGACATTAGCTTAAAGAAGTGTTTCTTCCGGACTTTTTTCTCCGAAAAGGGGGGGGGGGGGGCGGGGTACTTGATTTTTTAAAGGTGGGGGGGGGGGGGGAGGAACTTGATTTTTTTAAAGGGGGGGGGCGGAGCACTTGATTTTTTAAAGGTGGGGGGGGGGGGGCTTGATTTTTTTAAAGGGGGGGGGCGGGGCACTTGATTTTTATAAGGGGGGGGCGGTCAACATTTTACGGGGGGGGGGGGTGGACAGACACAAGTAAAACTATATGTTTACTATATAAATTCCATCTCGATGGGGGGGGGGGGGTAGACTTTCTTCGCCCCCCCCCCCCCCCCGAAGAGATGCCTGGAAGAAACTCTGGCTTAATAAACGGAAAAACCTCACAATTTAAGCTATAGGCCTACTTGTTTAATTTAAGCCATATCAGACTAGAGGGAAATTATAATATCTAGCCTATTTACATTCTTACACTACAAAAGAGCAGCTAACTTTTTAAAGCGCAAACACACCTTATAATCAACTATGATCGCATATTAATTATGCTAATTTACTTATACCAATAAAAATTTAAACAAGTCGAACAACTGCTTAAGTTATTCAACCTAAATTAAGCTCAGCAATCGTTTAAAAATATGGAAAACTAATTACAAATTACCATCAATATGCTATTACTGCTATCGTGTGTGATAAGAATTGTTTACAATTCAGTCCAAATGTCCGCACTATTGAAAGTAATACAAACATTCACTCGATTTAAATGGTGCGCATTAGAAAGCTGTGCTGGGCTTAATAAAACTTAATACCACCCCCCTCTCCATAATTAAGGAAAAAAATAAAGAAAAGGAGGTACTAGATACTGTATAACTAACAAATATATGGTGTGCGTGTTTGTCGAAATTATAAAACAGCCAATGCTTTTGTCGTGCATGAAACTGACGAAGATTATTGTGGTTAGTTTCGTATTCAGGAGAGCCTTACACTAGTGAAATAATGTTCCGTTCCCTGGGTCTACCCAAATCTGATGGGTACCTGACTTTATATGCCGAGGTCATAAAAAAACAGGTGAACTCTACTTCACCTACTCCGTGGGACGCTAGGTCCGAACGGGTACTTTACTTCACAAGCATCTTAGAGTATGCAGCTTATGTTTAGCTGTTTAGCAGTAATGTGTTGATCTATGAAGAATTATCTTTGTACAGCCTTGAGATTACAATATTTTAACCCTCCATGCATTGCTAGTGCAAATAAGTTCAATATTTCTTTCATCCAAATTAAATATCTTTGACAATATGTTTTCTCTCTCATGATATATGGTGGTATGTACAAATTAAATATCTTTGACAACAAAAAGCTAACTGCATTGTAACTTTAAATGAGAATATCAACTATCATTTCTTCAAGCAGAATTTAAAAATCTGCCGTACTTTTATTGAATGCAAGTTTTTTTTTTCACTATTGTCAAAAAACTCTGCAACTTAGACATGCCATTCAGTTTTTTTGCATTCATTAAGACCACAAATTTGATACATTATATGTTTATTCTAACATAGCATTTATCTGATTTTAAAAACTTTACTAATTTAATAATTTGGTAGGTATATACTTAAGAACTAATTTTTGGCAAAACAACTATTGATATCCCTAAAAATTGGACAAAACAAAACAGTTAAAGAAGAAGAAAAAACAAACTGCTATTAATCAGGTTCTTATCAAATAATTTATTGAACCAGGATAGCACAATATCAACTTCTTCAGTCAACATATAACAATAATACAACACCACACCAAAGGTTAAAATATTACTGTTGGCTATGATTCTCCTTTTAACTTATTATTCTAGGTGACAATTACATTTTCAAATAAAATCTGTTTATTGAAAAAATTGTGAATAGTGCTCGACTACCCTTATTTGTTAAATTAATTTAAAAAAAAAATGAAGATATTTTGTAGAGGAAATCAAATTTCAAAATAGTACCCCTGATTTAAAAAAAATAGTAATAAACAGGGGAAATAACCATAATATATTTTATTTTAATTTTAAAAATGAACCAATTTAATACAGTTTAAAGGTGCACTTATTACTAGTACAAACCCATCACAAAGGGCTGAAAAAAAATGCAATCATAATAACATAGCAAATGGTACTTTATTCACATGTTACATTTTAAAGATGAGAAACAATACCAAAATTTGTAAAAAAATTTATACTCGAACTATCATTTATAATTGCATGTAAGCACATGTGCATGTTTCTAATAGTTAATATTTTATATGAAGTGAACTTTGACAAAAATTATAACTAACATATCATAAGCCCTGGATTAGTTTTTAATTTTATTATCATGATTGTTGAAAATTTACAGCTGATAATGATAACCCAATTTTAATTAAATTAGAGCATTTAACAAAAGATTTTATACAGTAAAAATTTTAAATAAATATAAAGCTATAAGTAGGGCGTGACAAATATTTTGTTTAATATTTTGAGACAAATGCATATGACTTACAGAAATATTTTTTTTTACACCCCACCACCCCCAGCCCTGAATAAAAATTACAAAGCGTGCAAATAATGGTGTGCATGGTATTTAATTGCTCCAGTGTAATCATGGTTTAAATAAAACCTTTTTTTAATGCGTACATACACATCAAAGATGTGAACATGTTTGTAAATATTGTGTTTGCAGATTAGGTTGGAAACAATAACATTTCAACATAATGCTAGGTACATTACATATTTAATATAAAGCTAAATACATTACTACTACAAATTAAAAATACAGTAGCATTCTTTCAAAACTCAAATGAAAAAAAAAAACTACTTATATTTCAAGTCTTTTTCAAATTAGAAGTGAAAAAATCATAGCAGTAAAAAGAATTAGGAATATTACATAGAAAAATGCATATCAAATTATGATATGATAAAAATATGTAATTCTGACTTTTATTTTTTATAGATCTATTGAAACAATAGCTCATATACCTCTATTTCTAAAAGGAATTTATAATTTTTTTAATACATTCTGTTTAAAAATTCAACAATAAAATAACATTCCAGATCTTAAAACAAAGTTTCACAAATATAATTATAACCTCAATCAGCTCAACACTTTAAAAGATGATTTTTAACAAATCAATGCAACGATTGAAACACAAACCAAATATTGGGCTTGGCTATGCAATGGCCAGCCATGTTCAGCCTATATATAGATTGTTAATCACAACATGCAAAACTAACCACATAGTGTAAAAAAATCTTTTTTTCATACCACAAATCTGACCGATAAGCCAGATGATATACACACTTCAGGGTATTCTCATAGAACTTACAAGATAATATAACTAATGAATGTTAATTTTATTAAAATATTTCCGGAAATATTTTTTAAAAGCCTAAAATATGAAACAGATAAAATCTACATATTTACAGCACATGATATGCTCTCAATCTAATTCTTTTACAGCAGATGTAATTATATCAGTACAGAAATTAAGTTACAACCAGAACTCAAAATTTAATATTTTTTAAAAGATAACTAGAAAAAAATTAATACTGTTGGCAAGTTGAGTGTGATTTAAAAAAAAAAATAACTGAGCATTATCCTTCTATGCACAGGCAGCTAAACAAATAAAAATCAAACTTAAATAAAAAATAACACGTTTTATTTAAATATGATAGAGGTCGAGTCTGGTTCAATGGTCTGAAAGGTACATTTATAAAGTTTAATAACAAAAAAGAAATTTAATTCAGCTTCTAACTAAATAAAAATTTGTTATATTTTATAATACATTATATTATGAAATCCTTGTATTGATATTTGTGTGTTTCTAAAATAAAAAATTTGAAGCAACACTTGTATCTCTAAATTTTGTACACTAGACTTTTCTGCCTTTTTCCACCAATGTACTTAAAGTACAAAATAAAATACAATAATGTACTTATATACCAATTCATCTGTATCAGAATAAATAAATGCATTTTTAATTTTTCTTTCGCTTTTTTAACCACTCTGAGTCAGCTAGCAAACAGCGAAGCCAAATAGAAAAAAAAAATCAATGAACACACTGTAAGTGAATTTTATGTCAGATGTATGTAAAACAAACATATTCTACTTCTCAATTTACGATGATGTACATTAGATTACAGGATTAACAGCTGTACACTCAGGCCTGTCATTCCGTTTCCTCTTCGTCCTTCTGCCAGATGCAGACCAGGTTGTTGTCGGTGCCGCCTGTGACGTACTTGTGACAGCTGCTGACTGCAACGGTATTCACAACCAAACCCTGGTTGCACAACAAAAATAAATTATCAACTTTTTGACCAAAGTACCTTTTCCTACATTTTAAACTAAATCAGGCATTAATCTTTTTTCAACAGTATAATATATTTCCCATTTAACGAAATCAGATATTAATCTTTTTTAACAATATAGTATTTTTCCCATAAAACTAAATCAGATATTAATCTTTTTTCAACAGTATAATATTTTCCCCCTTAAACTAATTTAGGTATTGTTAATGTTTTTTAACAGTATAATAGATTTCCCATTAAACTAATTCAGATTTTGTTAATCTTTTTTTAACAGTATAATATTTTTCCAAAAAACTAAATCAGATATTATTAAATCTTTTTCCAACAATATAATATTTTACCAATTAAACTAAATCAGATATTGTTACTCTTTTTTTCAAAAGTATAATATTTTTCCCAACAAAGAGATGCTGAGAATTATAGTTATTTTATCAAGGCCCTTCTTTTCTCAAGATATTAATAAAACCAAAAAAATGTAGTTAATCTTGTGGCAGCACCTAGCCCAACTTTTAAAATAATTAGCAGATAATAGAAAATATAGCTGATTTTTTTAGCATGTTAAAAAATTAAAATGACAAAAAAACATAGTGTTGGTGGTTTAGGGGTTGTGCACATATTGAATAGCAGGCATGATGGGGCATTTCCATTTCATCTTGTTATATTGGGTAGTGGGCTATAAAGCAATATGTGACTGACATTTACTTAATTTTATTTATTTATTTTATTTCTGACATTGAATTGATTAATAATATTTCTCTCTTCTAAAACTTGTACAGGGTTTTTTATTGTTTCTAATGTAAAATAAAAAAAGTAATTTACTTTGATATTTGTATTCATTGTGATATTATTGTGAGTAGAGTAGAAGAGCTTTATGGAAATATGGCAATATATGAGTGAATCGAGGGGTCAGCGTGGTCGAGTCGGTAAAGCTCATGGTTGCTAAACCGAAAAGTCTCGAGTTCGAACCCTCGGGCAGATGAGGCTCGTTAGCTGGGGACAGCCACTCTTCTAGGAGAGACAACTCCAAAATTAAATAACTGCTGCCTTGTAGTTTGTTCTTGTGCTGCCTTGTAGTTTGTTCTTGGTTGGACAAAGGCTATGGAAGCAAATCCAAAAAAAGAAAAGCAGGCTGAAATCGGAGTCAATGGCCTCAATGGCGCATAACCAGTTGACACGTAACGCTTAATTGTGTTGGAGGCGTGGTCGAGTCGGCAAAGAAGCTCATGGTTGATAAATTCGAACAAAGTCTCGAGTTCAAACCCACTGGCAGATAAATCTCGATCCCCTTCAACACTAATAATTAAGAACGAAGAAGAAGAAGAAGAAGAAGAGTGAATCGAAATTTGCATCTTTTTCATCACACAATATGCAAAAAATATCATAACCATACTCATTAACTTATACATCAGTAATCACTTACTAGGATACTTAACCTTTAGGGTTAAGTTACAGTTTATAGCTTAGTGTAGCATGCTGCGCAACAGTGCCTTAATAATAAGATCAGCAATACAAATACCAAACAAAACAAGACTGGTAAATGTTTTGAAAACATACCAGACGCGGTGCTTCAGTTGATGGTGTACCTTCAATAACTGGCCATTTGAGAATCTGTAAACATAAAAGTACTATTAACAATATGTAAAGTAAAGTTCCTCTTTAGACCTAGAGATCCATTGGGAACACGAAGTAGGGTTCATATGTTACATTATTCCCAACTGCCTTTCATCATCATCTTTTCACATTCGTTGCCCAAGACACATGGGGGCAGATGAAGTAGAGTTCATCTTTTTCAGAGCCTTCTTCATACCAAACAATAGTGTGGTCAGCACTATATTTAGCTGTTTTCACCAACATGAGTTATGTACCCATCAGAGCTGGGTGGACTCAGGGACATGCAACTGACTTGAACCCAGATTCAAACTGGAGACTTTCAAATTAGCAGTTAGGCCATGAGTTAGGTACCCATCAGAGCTGGGTGGACTCAGGGACATGCTACTGACTTGAATCCAGATTCAAACTGGAGACTTTCAAGTTAGCAGTTTAGGCCTTGACATTGATAGGATATCAACAAAAAATGTTTTAAATTTTTAAAAATTTATTTACACACACAATCAAGGTTAATTCAAACCCCAGGCATTAATCAAAAGATGTTTTTCAATTTACGCCCAAAAAATTGACACATTTCTCTCAGAATAACATTTACAGAGAAAAAACCAGGACTCTATTTTAATCATTGATAAGTACAGAGCAATATAAAATGCGATTAATTACTACATAGGCCACACAGTTGAATTGTACATGATAAATAATCAATAAAAACAATACCATGACTCCTGCTGAGTATAGAGAAAAAATATGCTAGAAATGACTGCCCTGAGTATAGAGAAAAAATATGCTAGAAATGACTGCTCTAAGTAGAGAGAAAAAAATATGCAGGGGTGCCACTCATTTTCTAAGTGAATCCTGAAAATGAATCCCAAAATTTTACCAATCCTGAAACTAAAATTTGAAATTTTTGAAACCCTGAAACTTAATTTCGCGCGGAATTTCAAAATAAAATGGACTATTATTTCATTATTTTTTTAGACATTTGATTCATATTATGTTCAATTTACATTCCTTTAAAATGGATTTATTTTCTTTGTAACAAGCTTGAAATAAAAATTAATCTTTAAAGGATTGTGCTTACAACAAAATTAGTTTACAATGTTAGTCCCACCCATCTCTAGGCCTACCCCAAAATGTGCTATTGTAGAACCCCCCCCCCCCCTCCCAGCCAGCTTTTATAACATTACTGTATTTAATTTTTGAGAACTTCCTAGCTTGATTTAAAGTGTGTAGTCAGCCAATTGCTAACCTCTATGTCTTGTTATTGAATAATAAGCCCACTATATGCAGACCCCTAATAAGATTGTCACTGTATTAAAATACAGGGTTGACTTACTGTAGCTATTCAAGGCTTTAATTATTAACAGCCACAACAAAAACCTAAAACCCTGTTTTCCCAATCAACCACCAATGGGGTCATCCATAAATGATCTCACGCTTTTTTGACGATTTTTACCTCCCACCTCCCCTCGGTCACATATCTGTCACAAAAAGCCAAACCCCGCCCTCTAAAATGACGTCACACCTCAGCCTACACCCCCCCCCCCTAAAAATTGCAGTCGAATTTTTCTTAAAATATGATATTTTCCAAAAATCTTGTCTGACCTCTGTCAACATAGAGTATTTTAATCAATTCCTATTACACTTTATTGAAACAATATTCTAAAACGCGAAATAACGGCTAAAATTAGTTTTCTAACATAGCTTTTGGATAATGCAAAAGTGTGATGTCACACCATCTGAACCTCTCCCCCTCATGACAAAATTACGAACCGCCCTCCCCTTACGAGTGTGACGTTATTTATGAACGACCCCAACGCCCCCACTATTGATATACATGATGACGTGAAGAAATATCGTGGAAGTTTTAAGTCAATATCGCGGAATAACAGAATTAAGTTAATTTTAAAAATAATTTTAGAAGTAACTACGCTAGTAATACTCATGTCAGAGATGTAGCCGCCCGACTAAGTGAAAAGCTGATTTTTTTTACAAGCGGTTGGGAGGGGGCAGTGATAGCGGCTATTTTCTCAGACACGGTACTTCAAGGTTTTTTAAACATTTCAATGACGTTTTACCAAAGTAAAAAAAAAAACAATTAGATGTAGACCCTGCTAGATTGTGTAACTAAATTATAGCAGGCCTACATATTTTGTTTAATGATATAAAACGATGCAGTTCTAGGTTTTTTTTTCTTGAATCTAGAAGTAGGCCCTTATTAAAAATAACCACGTTAAAATTAAACAGCGCTTGTACTTGTAGAACTGCCTTGACCGAGAGACACGACTCAGACTGTGCTTGCGTGGTCTCGTGACGTAGGTCTTACGGTCAGCGCGACCTTGAAGAAGCGGGTAAGAGGTGGTAAAAATACATAAAATAGTCCTTCAAATAGTTTTTTTCTTTTCTTTTGGTAATACCAAATACAAAAAGTTTTTTTTTTTTGATCGGAACAAAATCTTTCGGTTTTTTTTTAAAGACCATCGGCGATGCTAGTGAGCTTGATCTAGTACTTGTAGGCTTTAGTTGTTTTTATTACACAGCTTTATAGCGGTATCCCATTGATGACATCACGTAAATAATACGAGTTTTACCCCCAACCCATATCGTCATAAATAGCCAGACAACCACACCACGAATGACATCAAAAAGTTTCGTCTACAGCCTCACCCATCTGATACAGCTGATTTTTATTTGGTCCTTGGCGCACGCGTGAGATTGTTGCTGACGTCATTTACTATTCATTTTTTTCGGAAAAGGCCATTAGCGGGAGTGTTGACGATAAAAACGATTTTTACAATGCCAAAATTTTCAAGCTTAAAACGATCTAAATTTTTTTTTAAAACTGCAAACCCGGAAATTTTCAAACTCAAATCTTGCGAATCCGGAAAGGGAAAAAAATATGATTCTCGAATCCGGAAATCCGGGATATCCCGGAAAAGTGGCACCCCTGAATATGCTAGAAATGACTGCCCTGAGTATAGAGAAAAAATATGCTAGAAATGACTGCTCTAAGTAGAGAGAAAAAAATATGCTAGAAATGACTGCCCTGAGTATAGAGAAAAAATATGCTAGAAATGACTGCTCTAAGTAGAGAGAAAAAAATATGCTAGAAATGACTGCCCTGAGTATAGAGAAAAAATATGCTAGAAATGACTGCTCTAAGTAGAGAGAAAAAAATATGCTAGAAATGACTGCCCTGAGTATAGAGAAAAAATATGCTAGAAATGACTGCTCTAAGTAGAGAGAAAAAAATATGCTAGAAATGACTGCCCTGAGTATAGAGAAAAAATATGCTAGAAATGATGGCACTTACATTGGAGGCTTCATATGTGTTGTCCTTGTCTAAATGGTAGTCAAAAAGTTTGTTCTGTAAGTTGTACAGCAAGAGATTTCCTTGATGGTCACCTACAGCCAAAAGACCTGGGATCAATTTGATAATGATTATTAACATGTAGATACATCATACATTTTACACATCGTCATGTGGCCACAACATGCTTTATTAATATTGCCACATCCTTATTTATAGACAGCGACATCAAAATTTACGCATTGCAACATCATTGATAATGATTATTAACATGTAGATACATCATACATTTACACATTGTCATTTACATGTGGCCACAACATGCCTTATAAATATTGCCACATCCTCATTTACATACAGCGACATCAAAATTTACGCATTGTAACATCATGATTTGCATATAGCCACATCTTCACTTATATGTGGCCTATCATTTACACATTGCACCATCATAATTTACATAAATAATTCATCATTCACAAGCAACTAGATCATTATTTACACGGAAGTAAGTAAAGCTCCCTTTGCAGGCCTAAAGATCAATAGGGCATATGAAGTAGATTTCATGTATCTTAACCTCGGCATGTGACGGTATGGTATGGTCAGCACTATGCCCAGCCACCTATACTTTCTCCAATGTGTGTCAGGTACCCATCAGACCGCAGTGGACTTCCCAAGTCAGGACCACGATCTGAACTCAAGATCAACCACACCGCCCCTAACGCTTACACCTAACCACATTGTCATTTACAAGTAGCAATATCAATGCTTATATATAGTAAAGTAGCAAGGAAAGTTCCCTTTTCAAACTGACGGTCTATAGGGCAAGTGAAGTAGAGTTCACTTGTTTCTGTGACCTCGGCATATGAAGAGATAGTGGGGTCAGTACTATGCCCAGCCACTTTTACTTTCAGAGTTTGGTGGAATCAGGGACGGTCTACTGACTTAAACCTGGATTTGAACTCGAGACTTACTGGTTAGCAGTCCAGCTCTCTACCGCTAGACCACTCAATCCCATTATTAACATGTGGAATATCATTAATTTATATTACATTTGGTCATTTCGTTATTTACATGTGGCAGCATAACCATTTACATATAGCCACATCCTCATTTAGATATAGCTATATCACCATTTGCGCATTACACCGCCATCATTTACATCCAGTCTGAACTGAGATCTGAACTCAAGATCTACAGGCTAGTAGCCAGACGCTCTTCTATTCAACCACGTCATCCCTAACATTTACACCTAACCACATCGTCATTTACATGTAGCGATAATGTTTATATATAGCCAAATAATTTACATAAAGCCACATCATAATTAACATATAGCCACATATTTACATGCGGAAGCAACATTTGTTTGTAGCCATACCATCATCTACCAGAATTTACTTTATCTCTTCAACTTTTCAAAAGAGGAATTAAGTTTTAAAAAATCCACCCCAACAACAAAGTCCTACAAAACAAAAGAGTTCCTCTCGAGCAGATGAGGCTCGTTAGCTGGGGACAGCCACTCTTCTAGGAGAGACAACTCCAAAATTAAAACAACTCCTGCCTTGTAGTTTGTTCTTGGTTGGACAAAGGCTATGTAAGCAAATCCAAAAAGAAAAGCAGGCTGAAATCGGAGTCAATGGCCTCAATGGCGCATAACCAGTTGACACGTAACGCTTAATTGTGTTGGAGGCGTGGTCGAGTCGGCACAAAGCTCATGGTTGATAAATTCGAACAAAATCTCGAGTTCAAACCCACTGGCAGATAAATCTCGATCCCCTTCAACACTAATAATTAAGAACCAAGAAGAAGAAGAAGAAAAAGAGTTCCACCCACCATTACTATACCCCAAGTTCAGGTACTTGACACTGTGCTGGGGGTACTTCAGCTTGATGAGAGGCTCTAGCACCACCTCTCTCTTCTCCTTCTCTAAATGTTTTGCCAAGTCCCATATTAGAATCTCTCCGGATCCCACTTGCTTGGTGGCTAAATTGTTATAAGATAAGTATTACAGAGCAGGCTATTAACCACAGCCAATAATGGGTTTTACTACAAAAAAAAATTAAAAAAGCAAATTTGATATACATTTTAAAAAATCTGATGAAAATGATGAAAGAAAACAATTACAGCGCAGGTTATTAATTTTATCATTAGCTAATAATGGTTTTCATTAGAAAAAAAATTAATAAAAAAAAAGCTCATTTGATTTTTTTTTTTTAAATCTGATCAAAATCATAAAAGAAAACTATAACAACACAGATTATTTCTTCCTATTACTAAATGACACAATAATTATTTTGTTAGAAAAAGAGTTAAAAAAGCTCTTAGGCATACATTTTAGATAAACCGGGAGTGATCTCCCCTAAACTTTCTCAAATATTTTCATGACACAACAAGGGATGGCAACTCGGGATATAGACATGATTTTTAATTACTTTAACTTTTGAAAATAGAATAAAACCTCGTAGAAAAAAGAATTGCACACCAAGTGAACGCCAAATAAAATAGTGCGGAATATTATTAGTACTTTATAAATTCACATGCGTTTTTTGAGAAATCGGAAATAGCAATAATTACTACTTTAGGTAAACAGAAATTACTCAAAATTTGACAGAAGGCAGAGAATTAGATCTTTTACTTAAATTTCATTTATCTATATGAAATAGTACTCAAGTTATAGGCTTTTGAAAAATTCAAAGTAGAAAAAGTTCTACTTACGGTTATTAGAAATTGCTCAAAAGTTGATACGGATCTACAATTTTGATATAATACTTAGATATGAAATTTCATCAACCTGGCTGTAACGGTACTCAAGTTATGTTTACACACACATACACATCCACACACAAGATTGCAAAACTATGTTTTTCCGACTCAGGGAGCTGTAAAACGTCGAGATATGCAAAAATCTCTATTTTTTTTTTTTGGCCAGATTACAAGACTTTATATATACTTTGTATATACGAGAAGGTAAAAATCTGATCAAAATGATAAAAGATAACTATTACGAAGCAAACAAAAGGGCTTAACATTGTAGAGTTTCTGTATTCTTTGTTTTGCTACAAAATTATTAACATTCACTCAACTAAAATGCTTTGGAAGAAATAGGCCGATGCTTTAAACAACAATTTCATGATAAATGCAACATATATAAATTTAACAAACGGTAATGGACACTACAATCATTCTATCAGAACTAATAATCAACAAACAAAGTAACAAATTCTTCTCACCTACAAGATCACCATGTAAACTTATCAGTCCATCAATAGTAACAGACCGACATTTTGGATGCTGAAAAACTATATCTGCCCGCCTGAACAGATAAAAATAAATTAAAAAGTAAATTAATTACAAGCAAAAAATAATTAAAAACAAGTTAATTAAAAAAGTCTAGTGACATTTATGCGCAATTTCCTTATGTTATCTAAAAATAGCTCTGACGTATAATGCTTGGGTACGTTCAAGCTAGAAGAACGATCGGTTTGTAGGTGTTTATGTAATTTTAAAAGTTGTGACCGAACAAGAGGATATTTTTGAAAACTTTCTTCGGCAATATTGTTCTAAATTATGGCGGGAATCGATTGGTACATGTTTCAAGTCGCTAAGTGGTCTGGTTGCCCAGATATGGGCCAAAAACTGAATTTTTTCAAGGTTTTTTGGCTTTCCCGGGAAATACATGAAAGAAACCCGGAATTTTTATGGCCTATGCTCATTCTCGTAACTTGCTTAACACAATTGCTTTTGGAACTAGTCATCGATATTGCTTCATTGAGGAGGAGATACGACTTAAAGCCCGGACACACATTCATCCATACATTCATTCATCCATCCATTCCCAGAAATGACGAGTTAATAAACGCAATTCTCCAGAATGGAAATTGCGCTAAAAAAAAAAAAAAAAAAACAACATAAAGATATAAAAACATCAAATAACAAAATGAGTATGACTAAAAAAATTCATACTTTTAATTAGTGAGCCTAAATAATATCTTTAACTTAAAAACTAGAAGACCCATAATCTATAAAGCAAAAGTATTAGTTAACTTATAAATAAACATAAAAATGAAAAAGTGATCATCAGAAAAAAAAATGGGATACTGACTCAATGACCTTAGCACGCCTGACCGGTGTCAGAGAATGACAGTCAGCCACCACCCACCCTACACAGCCCCTCTCAGCCCCTGCTATCAGCAGCTGGGATTGTTCACAGAAGATCAGGTTCAGCGCATCACCAACAGAGTCTTGGAGGGATATCTTCAACAGTGGACTGAAAACATAGGAAAAAATCCTGTAGGGATATCTTCAACAGTGGACTGAAAACATAGGAAAAAATCCTGTAGGGATATCTTAAACAGTGGACTGAAAACATAGGAAAAAATCCTGTAAGGATATCTTCAACAGTGAACTGAAAACATAGGAAAAAATCCTGTAAGGATATCTTCAACAGTGGACTGAAAATATAGAGCAATTATTGTAGGGATATCTTCAACAGTGGACTGAAAACATAGGAAAAAATCCTGTAAGGATATCTTCAACAGTGGACTGAAAATATAGAGCAATTATTGGAGGGATATCTTCAACAGGGGACTGGAAATATAGAGCAATTATTGGAGGGATATTTTTAACAGGGGACTGAAAATATAGAGCAATTATTGGAGGGATATCTTCAACAGTGGACTGGAAATATAGAGCAATTATTGGAGGGATATCTTCAACAGGGGACTGGAAATATAGGGCAATTATTGGAGGGATATCCTCAATAGTGGACTGAAAACATAGGGCAAATTCCTCTAGGGATATCTTCAACAGTGGACTGAAAATATAAGAAAAAATACTGTAAGGATATCTTCAACAGTGGACTGAAAATATAAGAAAAAATACTGTAAGGATATCTTCAACAGTGGACTGAAATAAAATATAGAAAAAATTCCTGCATGGACTGAAACAGAGGAAAGATGTAAGAAAAGTGTGGTCAGGAATACCAAGCAGTGCTTTTGTTTCTCATGGCAGGGCCTAAAACTCTGCCACCAACAACATTCAAAAGAAGAAAAACAACTGGACATTAGGGCGCTGTCTGGGATTTATTTACATAAAATACTCACTCATAACTTGAAATCGGGGCCCTGTCAGGGATTCCAATGTCCCACAGATAAACAAAACCATCCTTTGAACCACCTAGACAACAAAAAAGGTTTAGTCTAAATGAGTGATATAAATCATTTACCTGATTAATACAGTACAATACTTGGGATTTTAATATATATATATATATATATATATATATATATATATATATATATATATATATATATATATACATATATATATACATATATATATATATAAATGTTTAATATCGGTTTATTGCATCATCATAAAATTCCAAAAAAAGGTTTGAGCCATTCCATCTTTTTTTGTTAAAAAAAGTTATCAAAGGCGCAAAATATAAATGTGTCAACTAAAGGGAAGTAACCAGGCTTAGATTATTTAGAACAAATATTAATCGAGTTATTTCCCCTCGTCCAATAAAAGTATAATTAGCAAGCCAGCATCCAGTTCCCTGCAGCTTTCATAGCACCTGGTAAACAAATTATCCTAATAACAACTTTATCTTGAAAGGTAATTTTCTTATCAAGTTTACCCATTGTATTTTAATGGTATACAAACCATGTCCTATTAATGAAAAAAAGTTCAATAAATGCTTTACAAATGAAAAGAAATTGATATAAAGAAACTGAACCATATTGTACAAATGAAAAGAACATATTTCACTATGACTTAACCATATCGTACAAATGAAAACAATACATCTCACTAAACTTTAAACATAACCCTACAATTGAAAATGACACTTCACTAGACCTTAACCATATCCTACAAATAACAATCATTAAAAAAGTTTAAAAAAACCCACGTTTTCTGATTGAACTAAAAAGTAGAAAATAAATACTAGATCTATACATCACAATAATGCAAGCGATCACTCTACTATAAGCGATCAAAAACGTGGGGCGCCGAAGTAAAAGTTATATTACTATTGATTAGATAATACTATTGACTTTTATTAGGGAGCTTGTAGAGAGTCAACAGTATTAGAAACTGTAAGAAAATCACGGCGCCCCACGTTTTTGATCGCTTATAGTAGAGTGATCGCTTGCATTATTGTGATGTATAGTATTTATTTTCTACTTTTTAGTTTAATCAGAAAACATGGGTTTTTTTAAACTTTTTTAATGATTATTATTTTCTACTTTTTAGTATTTGTCTGTTTGCATTAAAATCTTGCTATCGATTTTATCTTTTCACTTTTTTTTGGGTAAACGAAGACAACTCGTAAAAAGACAACTCGTAAAAAGACAACTCGAAAAAAAATCGTTGTGTGAATACGTTACTGACTAGAACACATAGATTTGAACCCGTGTCGAGTGGGATAGCAATCGTGTGCCCAACCACTCGACCATATCGTCTCCCCCAAACTGGCCTACATCCTGTAAGTTTAAACTCGGTTCAAAGTAAATTATTTGCCCCTAAGCCTGTGGCAACGTGGGATCGTTCGCTTCACTGCGCGCGAGGTACGCGTCGCTGGTTTTTTTTCTAATGGCTCGCAGAGGAGAATTATATATATAGATTATATAGCGGTCTAAAATGCTCAATAAAATGTTTCCATTGATCAATTTAGTAATAATAACAATTGCATATTCTATGGTCATCCAAAAGAAAGCTTCCCTGAAAATTTCAGCGCGCTAGCTAACTGGGAAGTGCCAGAAATTTCGATCGCAAGATTTGATTGGAAAGACAAACAAACACAGAAACACAGAGAGAAAGCAAGTTAAAGAAAACGTGGGAATTAAATAAAAAAGTCTACCTAAAAACAAATCACATCCAACAAATAAAAAAAAAAAAAACCTGATTACTTACTGAACAACAGGCGTGTTAGAGTAGGGTGAAACAACAAGCAACTGATATACTTCTTGTGCCCATAAATGATGGCATACATGTGAAGCTGGTTGGGATATATCAGCTTTATTGCGGCTGCCTCGCCTAAGTCATACAAGGAAAACAATTCAGTTTATTTTGTTTACAATATTTATAAGGATTCTAATATATAATTATAACAATTTATAAAACAAAGGGTATAGAAGGAAGAAAATTTAATTTATTTTGTTTACAATATTTATAAAGATTCTAATATGGATGTTTATTATTATAATTATAACAATTCACAAAAAGAAGGTATACAAGAAAAACAGTTTGATTTCATACATTTACAATATTTTTAAGGATTCTATACCCAGCTGGCTTTACTTTCCCTATCATGTGTAAGGTGCCCATCGGAATTTGTTGGAATATTCTACTGAGACAAACTCAGGATTCGAACTCGAGACTATCAGTCATATGCTCTAGCTATTGACCACACTGTCCCATAATGTTAAAAAGGCAAGTGAATAAATGTGAGCATTTTAATTTGGGCTCAGCCAACTAAAATGCACCCTATGCTAATATAAAGGTGTATCAGAGAAAAAATAAAACAAAACAAATAAGTTAACATACCAGCCACAGCAAGTATATTGACTTTTTCTTTGTTGGCAGCTTCTATCGTGGTCCACGCCAGGGTGTAAAAATTCTATGCGCAAACAAAACAAGAAAACAAGAGTTGAATAGTGTAAAATAAATGAAATTTTGTCTAACCCTGATGAAAGCTGAACTTAAATTTCAACATACAAATAAAATAATAAAGATGTTCAAAAAAACAAAACAAATAACATTTATTTGTTTTCTTTAAAAAACTTTTATTCAAATTCAAAACATTTTCTCTGTCAGACTTATCAGTCAATGTTATCATATCCATTTTGAGAAGTTTGTTTTTACTCAGTGGGTCATGTGGATGGAACCCTGTCAAAAAATTCTACCTATTGTACTTAAACAAATCCATCACACTGAACCAGAAATCCCATAACTCCATATTTTATGGCTACATATTGAACCAGAAAATCAAAATCTCCTTATTTTACAGCTACATCATGATATTATCCCTCCCAAATAAAATCCACAAGATACACCTAAAACTAAATTAAATTTCAGTTATATTCAGTGCATATTTCTTTTTAACAAAATAAGTTATGTAGGCTTTAAAATAACTATTTTCTAAAATGGTGAATCCATAAAGTAGCAAAAAGTAAAGTTTCCCTTTCAAACCTGACGGTCTATGGGGCAAGTGAAGTGTGAGCTCACTTGTTTCTGTGACCTCGGCATATGAAGAGATAGTGTGGTCACTACTATGGTGAATCCATACTGAAAGAAATATTTTTTGTTTCAACATGGTAACATTTGCTTTTATCATAATACTTACTTCATTTTTATCCTTATCCTTGAAGCGTTTCAGAACCTTCTGTGTGCTGACATCAATAATGCACACTGTCTTCCCACCACAAGTCGCAAGATTATTTGTAGTTTCACCTGAAAAATATTATATTTAACAACTAAACAATGTAGGTAAGAAAGTAAGACATTCGCTATGGAGGCTTTTCTATTAAACATAACTTCACACATTTTTAAAAGTAAAATTTAGCCCATGCCTGTCACATAAAATATATCAGAACTTTTGAGTTTGTCTCAATGGTTTAAAATAAAGTAGACTCCTATAATATATATTTTGTTCAAAAACCATATTTTATCCAATAAAGTATTTCAATGGTGAAATTAGTACATATTTTGTATAGACAATAGACAATCAAGTAAATAAACAAATAACTATTTGTTAAAAAATCATACTTTATCCAATAAATTATTTGATGGATAAAATATCAGTGAGACTGGTACATATTTTGTATATACAATAGACAATCAAGTAAATAAACAAGAAAATATTTGTTAAAAAGTCATACTTTATCCAAAAAATAATTTAATGGATAAAAATATCAGTGAGGCTGGCACATATTTTGTAAATGCTATGCATAATCAAGTAAATTAAAATACAAATCTAATTTTATACCAGGGTGCTCCAGTGATGGTTCAAAGGCACACTTCCAAATTTTTGTGTCTTCATCCCCTTCTCTTTGACTGTGGCATCTTAGAAATAAAACTGGAGAGTGATCTCCAAGGCCGGGCTAGGGGAAATTAAAAATTTTAAATGTGAAACAATTATAAGTCTACAATACGAGTGGATGTTAAAATGTGAAAAAAATAATGTCTACAAGATAAATGAAACTATAAGTCTACAATAAATTAAAGTTAGTGCAAAAAAAATATACTTTTTGGTATGCAAGAATAGGAGTAATAAAATAAAAACCTTACCAACTGGTCGTGTTCCGATTCAGCTTTTTTAAACCTCTTGGGGTGAGACATATTCTTTTAGGAAATATAACTGTAAAAAAGAAAGCTGTTTAATTTTGTTTATAGTTTATCATTTCAAAATAGTTTACTTATTAAGTAAGAAAAAAATAAAGCAGTTAAGTTAAGGAAATATAACTGTAAAAAAGAAAGCTGTTTAATTTTGTTTATAGTTTATCATTTCAAAATAGTTTACTTATTAAGTAAGAAAAAAATAAAGCAGTTAAGTTATTGCCATTTTTAGAAAAACGTGACTTGATTGTAAATTAATTAAGATTTACTGTGGGTTAAAGCAAGATAGATTTAGTACTACTTAATACAAATGTAATATATATATATATATATATATATATATATATATATATATATATATATATATATATATATATATATATAATATATAAGTGGCCAGGTAGTGTGTAAGTCCGTCATGGAAATAGATTTTTTGAACCCTCTTCCTGTGCGCGGACGGCCTGGAAAATGTTTTTTTGGTGGCGGTTTAAATTACACTAATCGAATATCCGGCCTAATGCAGGGACCAACATCCGCGCGCAGCAGGGGTATAAGCTAGTATATATATAGGCCAATATATATATATATATATATATATATATATATATATATATATATATATATATATATAGGCCTATAGTCTATTTTACCTTAATTTTAAAAAAAAAATCAAATTGCAACAAAACAAATCTATTTTTGTGTTAGGAATAATATTTATTAGACAATATTAGGCTTTATAAGTATAAGTAAGCTATAGAACATCATGTTGATGTTAACTGCTATTAGCTGTTAGCAGCTGGGGACGATATTTCAAGACAAAACTTTAAATCCTAGCAGGACTAACCCCCGGCCCGTTTACTTTTTTAGCTCCAAAAACGTATTGCATGACATCATGCAGAAAAAGCACGCATTTCATTGGTTGGCGGCAGACACTATGAAATCCAAGAGGGAGGTTCAAAATATGGCCTATGTACGTCCTAGATCTAGGCAATGAAAGTAAATTTTTAAAAAAAGAACAAGTAGTTACTAGATCTTAGCATACTTTGCTACACTACTAGAACTAGATGTCTAGAGTATTTAGGCCTAACTTAAACTATTACTAATTTATTACTAGACTACTAAATAGATCTAGATTCTACTAGTTAGGCCTATAAAGCTATAATTAATAGTTCTCATCTACAGAGTTGATCCATCTAAAATCTAAATCATTAGGCCCTATTCATTAATCAAGCTTTAATAATAGAATCTAATTCTAAATATAGGGGCTTAGGCTTATAATTAATAATTTAATATAGGCCTAGGCTTAGATTAGAGGCTTAAATATTTAGTAAAACTCCAATTTAGCGTATTTTATTCGCCGCTTTATTATAAACCCAAAACACACAAAAATGTTAGGAAAACACTAGGATTAGAATCATTAGTTGATAAATAGGCCTATAGATCTACTTATTTTTTATGAATATGTTTCTTCTTCTTCTTCTTCGTTCTTAATTATTAATGTTGGAGGGGATCGAGATTTATCTGCCATTGGGTTTGAACTGGAGACTTTGTTCGAATTTATCAACCATGAGCTTTTTGCCGACTCGACCACGCCTCCAACACAATTAAGCGTTACGTGTCAACTGGTTATGCGCCATTGAGGCCATTGACTCCGATTTCAGCCTGCTTTTCTTTTTGGATTTGCTTCCATAGCCTTTGTCCAACCAAGAACAATCTACAAGGCAGCAGTTGTTTAATTTTGGAGTTGTCTCTCCTAGATGAGTTGCTGTCCCCAGCTAAAGAGCCTCATCTGCCCGAGGGTTCGAACTCGAGACTTTTTCGGTTTAGCAACCATGAGCTTTACCGACTCGACCACGCCGACCCCAATATGTTTTAATCAGCCTAGAAAAAGTAAAAATATTATTAATTATCATTACAGTTCCAATTAAATAGCATGTGATTGTTGGCGTGAGAAAAATCCCTACATGGTCAAGGGTTCACAGTGAGTTCACTTTGGCTTTAATTATCAGCATACGTCATAACTTAGGGTCATTGTGAGTTCATGTAAGTTAATTTATAGTATTATGCCTTGTAATTATGCGTTTCTACTTTACCCATTGCCATGAAAATCTTAACTGACACGAACACATTTTCAAGAAAAAAATAGTTAAATCTAGATCTAAACCTACACATTCAATAGGCCTATTCCAAATTTTGGATTTTTCTCAAGTTTTGACAAAATTAATTTAAAAAACTAAACCAAAGATTCATAAAAAAATAGGCCAAGTGATTTCCTAACCGTTTTGTGTGTTTAGGTTGTGTTTATTTATTATAAAATACGCTCAACTGGAGGTGAACGTGAATCGGGGAATAAAATAAGCTAAAATGGAGTTTTACCTCACAAATAGGCCTATATACTATATACCTATTTAATTTATTTAAAAATTTAAATAGGACTAGATCTACTAGACTTTTAATACTTCACTTCTTTCAACCAAGTTAAAGTAGTTAGTAGGCCTATTTGATTTTGATAGGCCTACATACCTACTAAATACTTAGGCCTAATGCTTACCTACCTAGGCCCTATTTAATTTAAAGTTTAACAACTGCTTGAACTTGAACTAGGCCTAATTCAATTGTCTTGACTACTCTTGACTTTGACAATTTCGGTCAGTTCTGAGTACACACACAGTCACTTACTCACTTCTTTAACTTTAACTCTTAATCTTAATAACTTAAACTCAGTATTGTGTGGTTTGGCCTAGATCTAGATTCTAAATAAATACAAAATTAGGTAATCTATCGTTTTGGGTACGTAAAATCGCCCGCGGCTATTAATGTACGAAAACGTTACCTCATTGTCAAGGCTGTAATAGAAGTATATTGTGATATGTTTGTGTCAAATATTATAGATAAATGAATAATAAACCTAAATCAATGGCTAAATATATCAATATATATAGGCCCGAAATTAACTTTAAACAGCAGTGTCTGCAAGCAAGATTTGCTATATAAACAGCAGCCATTTGTAAAATAGAGTGACTTCCGCCTGAATCTCGATCTTTAAGTCTAGATCTATAAAAATAAAACTTTAACAAGATGGCTGCTATAGTAAATGAGCATGGTTGCATCTGTTGGAAACATCGCTGGTGTTCATTTATTACTGAAAAGTTTTAATTCAATTGTTTAGAAACAGGTACATAAATGAAACAAGGAAACATTTTTGTATTTTTCAAAACATAAATCCTCCTCAAAATGTGAAATAATTATTAAAATGTAAGGAGTCACCTGTTTTTCACATTACTAGTCGCGGGCGATTTTACGTACCTAAAACGATAGATTACCCAAAATTATTAGGCCATAGATCTAGATCTAAATTTAAATTAAGGCCAAGGCTATTCCCAGCCAGTTGGGACTATTCCCAGCCGACTGTGAATAGCCCCAATACGGCTATTCACATTCGGCTGTCATTTCATGCTCTGTGAATAATATCTTAAAATAATAAAAGCATTTATTGTGACTGTGGAGTGACGTGCAGATTAAGAGTGCAGTGCTATTTTTATTTTGTTATAAGATCTAAAATCTAGATCTAGATTCTAACTAATCTACAACTGACTACAACTAGTCAACTAGACTAGAGTGTCACTAGACTTCACTAGAGTCTAGATCTAGATCTAGGACTAGAATCTAGATTCTAGATCTAGAATCTAGATCTAAGTCTAGAAATTAGATCTAGATTCTAGATCTAGATTCTAGATCTAGTCCAAATCTAGGTCTACGTTTAAAGTTTTAATAATGATGCAAATAAAAAATAAAAACATGCGTTTAGACCAGTTTTAGTAATTGTAGATAAACTAGATCTAGAATCTAGATCTAGCTAACTTAGTTAAAAGTACAGCGAATTTAAAATCATGTGTACACTCTTTTTAACCACCATTGTTTGCTATGCCAGATAAAAGTGTGTAAATTTTGTGAAAAAATGTAGATTCTAGAATATAGAAATCTATATCTAGAACTAGAAAATCTAGATCTAGACTGGATTATTTATCCTAGAATTAAATCTATCACTTAATTTGAATATACATTAAGTTTACTGAATACAGGCATAGTCTAAATCTTTTATTAAATATTTTGTATTATACTTCAGAAAAAATAGTCATACCATAAGATCTTATAACTTATAGACAATAATATAGAATCATAAATTTTAAAATATCATTTGGGAAATTAAGTTACATTTTTAGACTTAAGTTTTAAGGTTTTAATTTATTTTTAGACTAGCCGACTCTTCGCGCATTTCTGCATTGTAAGAAATAAAGAATTTAATTCAATGTGTGTAGGTCTACTCAATAAAACAAAGATTGGATCAACGAAGAAAGGATCTGAAATACTAATGGGTTAACTCGGAAGAAAAAATAACTTGCCATTTAGGCCTAACTATTACTACAATTTTATATAACTGTTGGCAAAGATTGATAAACTCTTTCACTTTCAGTTTTGTAAAATAAATATAAACAGCTTTATAATATAATTTATATTAGAGGTAGGTTTAACCAATATCAAAGTAGGGCCTTATACTAAAAGCTTTAATAACATACGCTGGCTATATCCTGGTTTGGCTCTAGACAATAGACAATTTAATTTTACATCGTTTGAACAATGTTTGTGTGTGTGGGGTCATCCATAAATGACGTCACACTTTTTTGACGATTTTCACCCCCCTGCTCCCCTCCGTCACACGTCGTCACAAAAAGCCAGATTCCCCCCTCCATAAAATGACGTCACACCTCAGCCTACACCCCACCCCCCCCCTCAAAATTGCTTTTGAATTTTTTCTAAAATCTCGTCTGAACTCTGTTAAAATAGAGTATTTTAATCAATTACTATTATAATTTATTAAAACAGTTTTCTAAAACGCGAAATAACGTCTAAAATTTGTTTTCTGACATTGCTTTTTTATAATGCAAAAGTGTTACATCCCACCATCTAACCCCCCCCCCTCCCACTCATCACACACCGTCACAAAATTTATGGACCCCACTCCCCCTACGAGTGTGACGTCATTTATGGACGACCCCTGTGCTTGTATTACTGTGTTGTAAATTCTACCGTGTGACAATGCGTCCCTTCAAACTGTAAAACTGGACACACCGTCAAACGGCCCGTGACAAAACGGTCCAGTCAAAACAACCCCAACAAATCGCCCCCGACACATTGGCTCCCGTCAATATTGCTCTCGTCATAATTACAAATTAAAACCATGATTTTTTTGTCTAATTTAAAACAAAAAAAAAACAACGATTATTTCTAAGTAAAAATAGGCTATTTCCAACTTGATATTTTTTTTTAAATTAATGTTTTCCTTTTGGGTACAATTTGCCCAATAAACAATTTCGCGGTACCGTTTAGCACCAGTGCACATTAAGGGCATACTACATATTTAAAAGAGTTCAAATAGAGTCACCTTTGTCTAAAAAAGAAAATAAACAAAAACCCATGTTATTAAAACAAAGGTAAAGACAAATTCGGTATTGCAAGCGTTATTTCAGTTGGGTTATTTCCGTAAACATAAAGTTGTTTAGTGTATGATAGTTCAGTCCCTGGGAACTACTAAAAACAATTATGGAGTTAAATTATATATAGATCTATAGACTGTAGAATAATGTAGAGTCGAAACTCTTTTCTTAAAGGACTCAGCCCTACAATAGTCACGAAACGGTGTAGATCTATATAATATTTTAAAACTCTGGTGCGATGTAATTATTGTAAATTGTTATAAGAAGCTGACTGTTTGATATTTGACGGACTTTAATTAATTAAGTAGCTTTGGATGAATTTGATTATTCTTGGTAATAAACACAATTTTAAATTATTATTTCTTTACGGCTGCTTTGATGATAAAATCTTAAAAAAAAAATAAACACGTTTTTCATCCATGTCTTCTACCTCATTCCCGACATAAACAGTTTGAAAAAGGAAAGTTTTAAATGTAGACTGCAGGCAGTGATGTCAGGGCGTCGGGTACCACCCGATGTCGTAACCCTGGATTTTCATAATTTACCATCACTTTATACTGTTCGTGCGTGTCCCGGATCAATATAGGGCAGACGAAGTAGAGTTCAACAGTTTTAATTACATCGGCATACAAGGAAATAATGTAGTCAGCACTATGCCAGCCGAAAATGAGATAGGTACCCATTATAACTGGGTGGACTCAGGTACATTCACAAGGACGAGAAACAGGGATTCAAATACGAGGCTTTTGTGTCTGCAGTCGTAAATTTTACCGTGTGACAATGCGTCCCTTCAAACTGTAAAACTGGACGTGTGTCCAAACGGCCAGTGACAAAACGGTCCAGTCAAAACGACCCCAACAAATCGCCCCCGACACATTGGCTCCCGTTAATATCGCTCTCGTCATAATTGACTCCCGACTTAAAGGCTCCCGACAGACGAGCTCACAACATATGGGCTCCCGACAAAAGGGGTCTGGACATATGGGCTCCCGAAATATGGGTTGCCGACAAATGGGCTAACGACGTATGGGTTCACGACAAGTCTGCTCACGACAAGAGATATTCACGACTTATTAGCTTCCAACAAAATGACTCCAGATTATATTGCCTCTAGTCAAATCAATCGAATGGCCATTTTGGCTCAGACGGAACCATTTTAACCAAACCACACACTGTACCCGCCTCCACTACCACCATAACTTCTTCTTTAACACCTGAATAAAAATACATCATAGCAATTAATTTAGGAGTCGCGCCCTTAACAGCCATGTCTCATCAATTTAAATATAAAAAAAAAGTATATCTGTCCTCTCACCCGATCGCAATGTAACTTTAAGAAATTTTTAAGAGTACTTAAGTAGTTTAAAAAAAAAAAACCAAGTGCTAACATATTCTCTTGGGAACTCTGGGAGCCAAAATCCTGGAAGACGCCCTTCCGAGATTTGTTTCCTCTCGTATAAACCTTCCAGTAGTATTTCCATTAGCATAGCTACGTTTAATGACGATTTATAATCTTTAAACATAATAATTCACTACTATTTATTTAAATAACTAAGCTTTAAAGCGTGGTTTGCTTCTTAAATTCTAGTAAAGGAATTCAATACATAATATAGCTACCCTAGCTTTTTTTAGAGTAATGCACTATTATTCTTTAAAGAAAAAGTTTTATTTTCTCCAATATTATAAACAATCTTGTTATTCAAAAGTTTTTTTATGCATTTAAAAAATTGCGTTTAGTTACTGAAAATAGTAAAACTTTTAATCGACCAATATTAAAGTCCGTCAAAAAGCAAACAGCTTTTAATTATCGTATTTATTTTATTATCTTTACACTTGATTATTTTTAAATATAGTTAAAAACAATTTTGAAACTATTTACATTAGTAAACGACGTTTCCATTTAAAGATTGACTAAACATAATTATTAATTTATATTCTCGAGTAGGAAGATCTGTCAACACTATCCTATCGAAAATGATAACATGTTGGTACCTAAAACGAATAACAAATAAATGTATTGTTCAAGCTATAAGTAAAAAAAAAAATTCCTTTTTAGACCTATTGGGTAGATGAAGTAGAGTTCTTTCATTCATATATGTCTTGACCACAGCATATGAGGGTGTACCCAGCTGCATGAACTTTCTCCAACATGTTTTATTACCCATTTTTGCTGTGGGGTTCTCATGCAGTGTTTCTTCCAGACTTTTTTCTCCGGGGAGCACTTGAAATTTTCGGGGGGGGGGGGGGGGGGGGGGAAGAGATGCCTGAAAGAAACTCTGGTCTCAGTGACGTTTTACTTGCTGGGACCCGGATTTGAAATTGAGAGTTTCGCGTTAGCAGCCTATCACTTAGGCCCAGTGTTTCTTCCAGACTTTTTTCTCCGGGGGGGGGGGGGGGGCACTTGAAATTTTCTTGGGGGGGGGGGGGGGGCGGTAGACTTTCTTCGGGGGGGGGGGGCGGTAACATTTTTTCGACCACCACCCCCCCCCCCCCCCCCCCCCCCCGAAGATATGCCTGGAAGAAACTCTGCTTAGGCCATGCCGTTACATATTGTTATATTTATAGCCTGAATATAATAAATGCATTAGAATGTATAGTTAAGACCGGGTCTTTCTGATCATTTATGTTTTACCAATGTATCCTCAGTTTTTTTTAAATTTTCAGATTGTAACACATGGGATATAGCAAAGACAGTACAATACGCTTGGTGTTTTTTCTAACACTTAACGCAATTATTGGTAATGTCAAATTTATTCCAATACTTATGCTTTTAGAAAAACCCTAGTGTACAAAACTGTGTTATTTGCATCAGCTATAACATTATATATAACATATTATTGTTATATACACATTCACTTGTATAAATGCAAATACTTTTGTATCTGTCCGTCGGTCCGTCTATCCATGTCCATATACTTGTCTACCCATATATATATATATATATATATATATATATATATATATATATATATATATATATTATAGAGAGAGAGAGAGAGAGAGAGAGAGAGAGAGAGGGAGGAGAGAGAGAGAGAGAGAGAGAGAGAGAGAAAAAAAAATAGAGAGATTGGCTACTAGGCATACTCCCTAGCTTCGCTTAGGTTTTCAAAAAACTTATGAGAATTTGAATGATTAATTAATTGGTGATTGGCTGTTATGTGGAGTGCTAAGGGCCTACTTTTTAACAGTTTGACTAATTCAAGTCATGGAAACCATGATGGAATATTTGCAAACTTATTTCTCGCAAGTTTATTAAAATTGCAAAGGCTTCCTTAATAGTATAAATCAAATATCTTACTAAATTAAGTTTGGCAACTATTTTTACAATTTTTTTTGCAGTACATAACATAATTTATAACGAAATATTTTTTTAAACGAATGCTATACTTAGTGATTTTTGTTTGTTCTTTAAAAAAGTATAAAAACTATTTTAAAATTGATACTTTAAAAAGTTACCTCCTCTGTACCATATGACTCAGTCTTTGTTTACTTTTTCACAAACAATTGTTTACATAAGAAAATACGGCATCTCGACAAATCAAACGCCACTAAGGGGTTTTTCCGACAGGAATAATGCTATTTTGTTATCCTCCAGAGTCGGTCGACGACCTGACAAAATAATAGGGGGAATCGTTCGTCAAATTTGTAGCCCTCATCGAGGGCTTTCAGTCTAACCAACAGTTTTTCTATCCGGCCTAGCTATTTACCTAGGTGCACGCAAACAATTAGCCTGATGTACAGACGGTAAGTGTCCTAAAATCTTTGTTGAAATGACCCTCTGTTTTTTACATAAAATACAAAGTTTATATAGGGAAATACGACTGGTCAGTTTCGACGCATGTCTAGATTTTTCCCGGATATGGCGAGTTTTTTTCTGACACCCCTAAGCGATCTTATACCATCTCATAAAATATCAATGGGGGTCGTTCGGCAAAAGCTTTTTTTGAAATATATCTCATATAAAGCGCCGGTCTGTCGAGGCCATTTTTGACCCTCTTTTCGTGGACTTTGCGGCCAACAGGCACCGGCCCCCGTAGTCTATTGCCCCAATGCTGGAGTCTGCAAAATTTGAATCAGGGGCTTCAGCCGGTGCCCCGGCAGGGTTCAATTTGTCGCCCTGGGCTATTCTATGGTGCATAAGTTCGTTTTAAACAGTGCGATAGACTATGGTTAAGAGTGTTATTGTAGTCCTTTACTAAATCGTATCGTGTTGTTTTTGTATTATTGTGTTCGTTTTTTTTTGCGTTTTGTTTGTGTTTGCATTGTTTTTTTTTGTTTGCGTTGTGTTTGCGTTCGTCTTTGCGTTTTCTTTTGTGTTTAGTTTTGTTCTGTTCCAAAGTTGGTACAATTAAAAAAAAATTCACCTTGGACGAACACAATATTACTTACTCTTTGGAACTAGCGATCAGATTGGGAAAATATAAAATAGAGTTGATATGTTTATTGACCTCGGCATATGAAGGGATAAAGTGGTTAGTGCTATGTCCAGCCGACTTCATTTTCCCTAACGTGAAATAGGTACTCATCAGAGCTGGGTGGACTCTGGGCTGATTTGAACCCGGGTTCTAATTCGAGACTTTTGGGTTAGCAGTCTAGCACTCAAGCGCTCGGCCGCGCCATATATATATATATATATATATATATATATATATATATATATATATATATATATATATATATATATAATCACTATTTTAAAAGTTACGTTTCATATTAGTTTTTAATTAGTATATAATTTATTGTAACTAGAGTTTAATTAATTGCGTTAGAAACATTATTATGTCTGTGTGTATCTCGTAAAATGTGGCGTACTAATTTTAATATTAATCAATAGTACATTGATCATTACCAGTGCAAGTGTTCTCAGTTGTAACTCATGCGGGTGTATCTTATACGTTACATCATGAATTGAAAGACTGGGAATCAGCAAAGGTGAGAAACGTACTAAAATTTATTTTTGATTGCTTAGTATGGAAATATCGTGCGCATAATGAAGGATATAAACCAGAATTCACCTTTAAATTTACACTAACACCTGTGCATATACCTATATATGTGTATGTGCATGTGCAAGTACATGTGCATGTACATGTGTACGTGTACGTGTACGTGTACGTGTACGTGTACGTGTACGTGTACGTGTACGTGTACGTGTACGTGTACGTGTACGTGTACGTGTACGTGTACGTGTACGTGTACGTGTACGTGTACTTGTACGTGTACGTGTACGTGTGCGTGTACGAGTATGTGTAAGAGCGTCTGTGTGTATCTATGTGTGTATGTGTATGTGTATGGATATGGTTAAGGGTATGGATAAGGGTATGCGTATATGTATGTGCGTGTGTATTCGCACGTGTGAGTAGGTGTAGGTGCAGATGTAGGTATAGGTATACGTGTATATATATATATATATATATATATATATATATATATATATATATATATATATATATATATATATATATATACATATATATATATATATATATATATATATATATATATATATATATATATATATATATATATATATATATATAAATATATACATATATATATATACACAAAACCGACATGGTTTCATTTTATTAACACGTTTTTCTTAACTCAGCTTCGCGTTTGTGGATGGATTTGTTTGTTGTTAAAATTGACATCGAAAATTAGCCCACTTCTGATTGCTCTTGAGATCTGAAATTTGGCATACAGGCTACTTTCGCCTAACAACTTCAGATGCAATCATAAAAACTAGCAATTAGCGACCGTAATTAGCTTAATTTAATTACGCCCCAAGGACCATAAAATTGAGGACATGATTTCTAAAGATACCGACAAGACTGGAGGCTTATTGACACAGTTACTTCGGCCCCAATCGATGTGAGCGCGCTGGCCGTGATCGTATAGTGGTTAGTACTTCGCGTTGTGGCCGCGACAACCCAGGTTCCAATCCTGGTCGCTCAAGATTTTTTTAGTCCGTGTATTTATAAACACTTAGTCAAGTCATACTTAATCAAGTCATTAGATAAAGTAGAAAATAAACTATATAAAAATCTTTTTTAAAAACCACGTTTTTCATGTGTAGCAACGGACTAAAAAGGAGAAAATAAAATACTTAAAAAAAACTTTTTAAAAAACCACGTTTTTCTTGTGGACTAAAAAGTAGAAAATAAATTTTTCTTTTGTGCTTCCTCGAGCTGTGCAGGTTCTTGTGATGACTGACAAAAACGTGGGTCGGGCAGATGGGTCGGGAAATTTGATGGTGAACGTACTCACGTTTTTTTTTGTCAGTCATCACAAGAACCTGCACAGCTCGAGGAAGCACAAAAGAAAAATTTATTTTCTACTTTTTAGTCCACAAGAAAAACGTGGTTTTTAAAAAGGTTTTTTTAAGTATTTTATTTCTCATGTATTTTCTATCAATTTCAACTATGTAAGAACATCTGTAATGAAACGGACAGTATTCTTGCGATGTTTCGCGACAAGTCTTTGATGGATACGGTTCTCAATATTCAAGCTGAAACGGGTTAGTGTATTTTTTTTTCAGTTTGTAGGCATACCAAACTCTTACTACCAACGTTCCTCCCACTCTTAAGATATTACTTACTCTATCTTTAAGAACTCGTGTAATATTTTTCGAATTCCGGCTCGTGTTGTTTTGATTCTTTCAATTTTATTCCCCAAAGGTATCTTCTGGGTCGGTGGAAACGATCTTGAGTATGAGGGTCATTATTACTGGGACGGGAACCGAGGAGCTGTAGATCCGTCATTTTTCCCCGCTGGTTGGCTGGGCAGCGGAAATGATGAAAACTGCCTTCGCTTGAGTACACATACACATTCATTAGATGACTACGATTGCTCGGTCCCTTTGAAGTTTATGTGCAGTAAACGTGGTAAAAAAAAATTACATTTATTAATACTAAAATAAATAACTGATTTAGTACCTTTATTTTATTAAAAATAAAAATCAACAGTTAACTGAATGTAAGTCTTGTCCTGCATCAACAAATACTTGTCTAAATGTATTACTATACATTCATTATGCTACATCCTAATGGGTCTACGACAAATTCCCGATAGACACTTGCCAGAATGCCGTTTGCCCGAAGGCCGATTTCCCGAATGGACACTTGACCGAATGCGGAAAATGCCCGAACGGACACTTGCCCGAAGGCAAAATATTTTCACAGGGTATTAGATCAGTATCTTCAGCGATATATGGAGAACTTGATACGGACTTTTGTTAAAAATAATATGGTAGATGTTTTAAATGTATAAACAAAATTTATTCAAAGAAGAAAAATAAAAAAAGTCGTATTTGAATGTAGAAAAACAATTTTAATTATGCAACCAGAAACGTGTTTATAGTTGTGAAAAAGAACTCATAAAACAATGCCAATTGTTTACAGTAAGGAAAGTAGGCCTACACTAAACCTATGACGTCATCTTCCGATTTTTGAATATAAAGAAAGGAACGATTTCATTCAACTTTGATTTATATCTAGATCTTCGTACGCTATGAAATCTAGATCTATACAATACAATTTTCTCGGCCTAAACTTATAAAATTTACTTTATCTATTTGGATTCTAGGGGGCGCCAAAATGGGTTGGAAAAACAAATTGAAAGTTTGAGGGGGGGGGGGGGGCTGCAAATCGATAGTTTAAGGGGGGAGGGGGAGTGCAAAGCAAAAGTTTGAGGCAGGTGCAAATCAAAAGTTAGAGAGGGGGGGGGGGCTCCAAATCGAAAGTTTGTCCCCGGGCACCGGGAAGGGTTGCTAAGCCTCTGACACAAATAAGCCAGTAAATTGGGCCTAAACGGTGTCCTTTTCTTTTTAATAAGTTGAAATATATTCACTAAGCTTATGGAATATATTAAGAGTGTAAAATACATTTATATACACTTCTTTTAACATTCTAATTAATTACCTTAATTAAAAACTTAAGAATAACATATCTAATATGTAACATCATAATGGCTTCTGCTTACTTTTTTTGGCAATTTTTCTTACTTTGCACTTTAACATTACAGTCCTAGGATGTCCTTTTCAACCGGAAATCAAAAACGGATTCTGGTCTGTATGTTCATACACAGACGCCGCTGCTTGCCATGTAGAATGTTTCCAACATTTCGAAATCAAAACTGTAGTAGGATACATTTGCCGAAATGGTCAATGGACTGGAAACGTATCTTGCGTTGGTAATGTTTTGGTTTTCTGCCAATCTTGAAATTGTTCCGTTTATTTGTTAAAATAATTTCTTTTTTAAAAACTTCATTTATTCGCAACATTTCCTTAATTAATTGTTAAAGGAACAAAAAATAAATAAATACAAAAGTCGAAAAATCATAATTATATATAATGTAATACGCATGAAAAGTCTATATAATCATAATAAATTTAAAAAAAATCTTTTAAAAATATGGCAAGCGATAACATTATAGTTACATTTGTAAAAACTAAAGCCATTTGGGAACCATCGATTACTCTCATTTTTATATGTTTGTATCAAATATAAGCCACTAAAAAGCCGTTTAAAATTATTTTATGAATTCAAATATTTTCAAAAACTGCCCTCAATCTCTCATTAAAGTCAACCGGAATGGCTAGGAAGAGTAAAACAATAAAAGTCGGAACTGTTTTCCCTAATGAAATACGCATTAGTGATCTATAGTGTATAGCGTAGCATTGTATTTATATTAAATAATATAACATTCCCAATCACCACAACACACCGACTCTACTCATCCAAATTAAATTTAAAAGTGTTTGATAAATTACTATTATATTAGTAGTAATTATTTCTTTGACTATTTCCAGCCTTAATTAAATCGGAAGAAATTTTGTACTTATTACACAAATGTTATAAAATGTTCAATTTTGGTTGAAAAATATGCTTTCTGGCAACACGAATTTGGAACCATTTGGAACCAGCTTTTCATTTCTATTAAATTCAATATTTTAATTTTGAATCCATGTTTTTAAACAGGAAATAACAAATGCAGTTATTCATTTGTACGATTTGCAGTTTTGGGGATTATGGTTACAAATACCTAGAATAATCTTTTTTTTATTTTTCGCTTTTACTAATTATTCTTAAATTAAAAATCAATCTTATAATTGTTCTGATATGAGATCGAGTTAGGGAATCGACAGTGGCACAGCCACTCATTCAGTGATCCCGGACGAACTCTCAATTTTACGCACCAATGTATATATTATCTATTTACGTTTGTTTTTGGACTACAAAGAGAGATGGAAATGGAAGCAGTTTCCGAAAAAAATAAACCGGGAGTGATCTCCCCTAAACTTTCTCGGATATCTATATATATAATTCTCTTCTGGGAGCCGTTAGAAAACAAGCTGCAAGCGCCTCCTTGCAGTCCCCTCTCTTTCTCTCTATCACTATCACTACCACCCCCATCCCACCCCCACATTGTCTGGTGAGCGGTGTTCACTCTAAATGTTTACAAAGCTAAATGTTTACAAATCTTAGAGCCGTAGTGCCGGGTTTCTATTAGGGGCTGATAATTTAGTTCGATTTTAAACTTACAGGAGGTAACTAAGAAATAATTAAGAGGAGGCTGCTTTCACGGGGGGGGGGGGGGTGTAGGGTCGGGGTTAGGGGAAAGGGGGGGGGGGGTTAGTGTTTTAAAGCAAATATTTTCAGTTGCAGCATTGGTACTGTCGAATTCACAAATTATGAATAACTGAAAAGTAGAAAATAAAACAACTAAATAGCGGCGTATGATACGCTGCGGGTCGGCTCGTTCTAATATAAAACTACGAGGGATGGCAACTCAGGACATAGACAATATTTGTAATCCATTTTTAATTACTTAAACTTTTTATAATAGAATGGAATCTCGTAAAAAAAAGAATTGCACACTAAGTGAACGCCTAATAAAATGTGCATAATAGTGTGGGATATTATTAGTACTTTATAAATTTACGTGCGTTTTTTTGAGAAATCAAAAATAGCGTAAATTAGTACTTCCGGTCAACGGAAATTACTCAAAATTTGAAAGAAGGTAGAAAATTAGATCTTTTACTTACATGTGAAATTTTATTTATCTATCTGAAATAGTACTCAAGTTACAGGCTTTTGAAAAATTCAAAGTAGAAAAATTACCACTTCCGCTTATCGGAAATCGTTCAAAAGTTGCTACGGATCTACGATTTTGATAAAATACTTATATATGAAATTTCATCAACCTAGCTGTAACGGTACTCAAGTAATCGTGTTTACACACAGACACACACACACAGACACATAGACATACGGACAAGATTGCTTTTTCCGTATCAGTGAGGTGTAAAACGTCGAGATTTGTAAAAATCTCGATTTTTTTTTTGCATGATTACAAGACTTTCTCTATACTTCGTATATACGAGAAAGTAAAAACCACACGTGACTGGATAGAAATTTTCTCCCGGGCCTGTAACCCCTCGCATCAATGTATAAGAATTTATTCTATACAATACAATAGAATGCTGATATATCGCACTTTGCAGGTAGCACACACATTCTTTCATATATATATATATATATATATATATATATATATATATATATATATATATATATATATATATATATATATATATAAATTAGGCTTTTTCTCATGGGATACAAAACTGAAAATTATGTGAAATGTATTATTTTAACAGCCAAAGAGCATGAGGTAGTCCGGAAAGGGAGGTTGAGATTTTACCTTTATTTTTCCAAATTGAACTGGATGTCGGCTAAGGTTTGTTTTTTTCCACTATTTCAATATAATTATCTTAACGTGTACTGTATATGAATGGAGCAAAGGGTACTGAGCAATCTTTTATACATCTTATTAAAAAATAATTAAGACGAAAATCTAAATTTAAAAAAAAAAAAAAAAAAAAAAAAAAAACAGCGCAGTCACACCCTGGGGAAAATAGAAGTCAAAACATCCTACGATATTTTCTTATCTTTCCAAATGTAAGGAATTTTTGTTTTTAGTTATACGTATATTCCAAAGCTTTGAGCCTATGGAATCACATACAAAAAGAAGCGGGAGTGATCTTCCCTAAAGTCTCTAATATAATCTCATATAACAGTAAGGGAGATGGCACATTTAGTGCAATCTGCCTATAGAAATATAATTTTAATAATATGTTAAAATCGAATAGAATGAAGTAAAAATAAACCCGGAGTGATCTCCCCTAAACTTTCTCGAATATTCTTATATAACTCTACCGGGGATGACAACGCTGGGTACAGGCAAGATTTTTAATCAAATACTTAAACTTTAAAAAACAGAATAAAATCTCGTAGGAAAAAAAAGTATTGCGCACGAAGTGAATGGCAAACAATATGTGTATAATAGTGCGGAATATTATTATTACTTTATAAATTCATTTTTTTTTTAGAAATCGTAAGAAATTCTACATTTAAAAAAAAATCACGAGAATAAGATTTTACATCTATTTGTAATATTTCGTTGATCTAAATCAGGGGTCTCCAAACTACGGCCCGCGGGCCGGATGCCCCCCGCGGTCTTCTCATCCGGCCCGCGGAGATCTTTTTGTCCACGGAAACTTTTTTCTGTTGGAGGTGGCTGAGGAGCTTTGCCCAGAAAATTCATAACAATTTGAAAGTGTAGCTTAGGGTGCAACTACCGTTACCTACCACGTAGCAGACATTGGTATAAACACTGTGACTTAAATACCTAAAAATGTAAGCAAGTTTCGCAAGTTTTCAATTGTAATGGATGAGTTGCTGGACAGCGGTTCCACCTCTCAACTGCTTGTGTTTATTAGAGGTGTGGATGAA